GCTATTTATACACAAGCTCTGACAGAAGGGCACAATTCTGCTCCCATTGACATCAAAGGGAAAAAATTCCATTGATTTCAAGGTGAGTCAGGAGTGGGTCCAGTATTTCATCTTTCCCCACAAATCTTTCAGTGCCACTGGAATTAAGGCTTCTATATTGTGTCCTACAAGAAAAGAAAAATGTTTAACTGTCATATTAGACAAAAAGCCATTTCTTGAATTTTCTTTGTCAATTAATTTTAATTTCTTAAAAATGTAATGCATATCAGACACTTGCCTACATACAGTATTTCCAAGTCAAACAGAGCAATCAGTTACCATGGCAGGCAGTATCCATTAAATAGAAAAATATTCAGTAATTCACTACTGCATTAGAGGGCAGATAATATATCACCAGTCTGAAAATAAGATACCACTGCTTTCAAAAACCCTGTTGGGATTAATATTCAAGTATGTTTATTTACTTATTTTGCAAACTATGAAAGAATGCCTAACCAATGTTCTGGGTAAAGATACACTCAATAAATAAATAGATCCATCAGTTTCCCGAGATGAAATCAGCAACAACATCACTTGGGCATGTGGCAGATGTTAGACTCAGATATAGTGCCACAACAGGTTGCATAAACAGCCCCCTGCCATGGTCACTGTAACCAACCAAAATAAGTGACCGAGTGGTTGTCCCTAATAGTGCAAAATCTTGAATAAAGATGTTTCAAGCCATGCCACAGTCAGCAAACTCTTGTGAAGCAGTACTCTTGAGGATCAAACACTGCTACTGAAAACACCTCATCTTCCAATCCTCAAAGATCGCACATCTAGGGATTGGCAGCAGAAATACCTCAGTATTCCTATGCACCATGATACAAAGGCAGTACCCCAGGCTAGCCATGTTTCATACCATAGAGAGCTTTATAGATCAGAACCGGCATCATGAATCGCACTAGGAAACAGATGGGGAGCCAGTACAGTTAACAGAACCTAGCTGTAATGTTCTGAGAACAACCCATTCCACTAGGTACATAGCCCAGTGCATTCTGCACTAACTGAAGTCTCAGAATACCTCAGGGATAACTCCAAGTAGAGTTTATTGCAACAGTCTAATCTGGAGGTGACTCTGGAAAGGCCTGAATCGGTGACGTAAGGTTTAGCTCGTCACAGATGATAAAAAGCGGTTTGAAACTCTGCTACTACCTGGGAATCCAACGGCACTTAAGAGTCCAAAAGAACTCCATGAATGAGAACCAATTTGGGAAGCAGTGGACACATTTCACCAAAAGATGATGTAATCAAAAAGCACATCGACTACTCAAGTTGCTTTACTTGTTTAATGGCAGAACCTTAGCTGGCTCCTTCTCTCTATCTTGGCCAGGAGACACATGGCTGAGTGTCATCAAAATAGTGATGGGAGTGCAGCCCAATATATTTGTCTCCTCTAGTAGACTAAAAAACATGATGAAATGGTGGAGTGGGGAGTGATAGAAAGGAACCCTGCAGGACCCTAAATGAGTTCATCGGGGTGACTGAGCACTTGACACCTCCACCTCTCTCTGAAATCTATCTGAAAGAAGCGCTAAGAGGAAAAAATAACTGAAGCACAAGTGTGATCATGGAAGCTACTGCATAAACATTAGAGAAATCACACTCAGCTGGTTCGCTGCCACTCTTACATTTCTTAATTAAACTGGGCCAGATTAATCCCTTGTGTAACAACATAACTACGCATGTAGGATTTACCAACTAGGAGTATAGCCATTCTGTGACAGTCATGAGGGTACAGAAAGGGTTTTCATCAGGCCATTCCGTATGTTAATTAACTCAACCTTACAACTATCCACAGCTTAAGCATTGGTTATCATTCCACCCTAAGTATTGCCTTACTAAAATACCATACTGACACTTTTAGTAAGAGACCACCTGTGGCTTCCTCACTGGGCCATATTGTGCTTGCCTTACTCTCACCAGTACTCCCATTGAAGTCAATGGGCCAAATGCATCTTCTGCTGCAACTCTATTGAAGGCAATGGACTGACACCAGGAAACAAATGTGGTCTATTAAAACTACTCAAAGAAGTAAGGTAAACAGAGTTTGGTCTTCTGGGAGACAACAGAGACACACATAGAAGGTATATGATGCCACTAACCATTTAACCATGAACAGGTCACATGTCTGAACCTCTGACCATGATGGAAGCTGAACATTTCATATGCCCCTCAGAGGACTTCTGGCCCTGCTTGTGAATTCTACTGAGTAACACTGAGTTCTTCATATAATATGTGACTGTTCCTTTAAAGTTACATTTATAATCAGTTTATAAAATGTTAATAAATGATTAATACCTGCCCAAAGCATGTTACAGATGTGTACTACATGTTAACAATGGTTAGGGGCATATCAGTCATAGGTGTTGTACGTAATTATAAGCAACCTATTGATCCATTGGACTCTATGACCATCGATTAATCATTAAAATATCTATTAATCCTAGTCAGAACTATGTTTAAATGTACCCTTAATATTAAGAGTGACCAAAGGGACTTTTTTCCTGTGGGCTAGATGGGACCATTCCCTGACTTGAACAGAAACTAAACAACAATTCTGAGTTTGGAGGAATCCAGAATCTTTTTCCAGATTGGGTTACAATACAAGGCCTCCTTCCCACCCAACTGCTGAGATTCCAGAGATAATATTCTATGCCACTGTGGCACTGGACAAATTAACTTTGGAATTTTTAACAAATTTTGATAATAAATTTATTTCCCTTGTACAAAAATTAATGATGTAAAATATATCTAAAGAGGCCACCATTAATTGTAAACTACCAAGGATTAGATGAAATGGGTAGTTTTACAGCTACAGCAGAAAGGTTTAAATTATGGGTCAGTGTACCTTCATTTTATTAAAAAAAATTAAAAAGATTACCTATACTTAGGAACGAGAACCTCAAGGAGAATTAGCTAATTAACTGTGACTTAAAATTAATGATACCAAGATGTGATTTTTGCCAGAATTTCTAGATCCACATCCTAGTTGGAAAGTAAGTTAAATTTTACCTATGTAAAATATCTTAAATGTATGGAAGTTTCATAAAGAAATCACTCGGGACTTGAACTTGAAAACATTTACTAGGCAACATGGTTCTGTGGATAAGGCTGGGGAGTCAGGAGTTATGACTCTAGCTCTACTGCTGATCTGGGTACATAACCTTGGTCAAGACATGTCACCTTAGTTTCTCCCATCAGAAAAATGAGATAATGATATGTTCCTTTGTAAAGAACTTTGAAATGTATGGTTTCAGAACCCCAATGAGTGGTGTCACTGAAGTTAAGTGAGGTTCCAACATTAATAAGCTCTACACCCAGTTGTAAGTGTTTGCATAAATAGAAGAAGTGAGCCTTAGGGCTTGTCTACATGGCGAGTTTTTCGTAGCAAGCTAGGGTGAGAGTCTACAGTGCACTAGCTTGCTGCACAGTAATTCACTCTGTGGACCCTGCTTCAGGCGCACTAAAAGTTCTATAGTCCACTTTGAGTTATTCCAATTTCAAAGAGCAGTACATCAAAGTGGACTACAGAGCTTTCAGTACGCGGTAGCAGGAACCGCATGGCAAGCTAGTACGCTGTAGATTCACACCCTGGCTTGCTGCACACTATTTTGTTGTGTGGTCCACCCTCAGTTTTTGAAAGGCCTGATCCTGCAAACGCGTAAAATTGGGTATGCTTGCAGAACTAGACTGGGAGTCAGCTATGGGCTCGATCCTGCTCCCATGGAAGGTCAACAAACTACGATGTTTTCCAGACTTCCAGCTTAGGTGATGTCTCAGGAAGTCATATTGATATATCACACAGCCTGGAAAGGGTTAAGTAGAATTTCTTCATGGTAAATGTTAATAAAAATATTGCATCAAGTACCCACTGAAATATAAATTTAATATGAAACACGTTTGATGAAAGTTGAACTGTAATTTATTAATAAATCATTATTATTATTGCCTGGTTGGAGAGATTAATTTCCATACCAAAGAGACTCTAATTCCTTTTTGATTCTATATTGGCCTAAGTGGCCTCTCAATATCCACTCTCTTTCTTGGAAACATGAAAGATCATTTCAGTTCCATTTTCCCCATGAAATCAACAACACTGAAATTAATTACACAAAACAGTTAAGCTTAATGAGCATATTATGCCTGTAAGAGCCTTGGTGAAAACCAACTGTGGAGAAAGGTTGTATTAAAATGTGACACAAAACATAGAGAAATACAGTCTGGGGATCCCTTTGCTAATACTTGCAATGACCCATGTAAACTTATCTTATTCACAAACACTTTGCCTTCTATTTCCTTTTGGTACATTTCATTCTTGGAGAGCTGGAATGATTCAGACACTTGTTCTTTCCACACTCTGAACTGTGGAAGGTGCTCTGAAATTATTTTATAGACTTTCCGTATTCACTCTATACATGTAGGGCCCCTTCCCAAGATCACCGAGATCAGTATGAGTCCTCCCATTGATTCCAGTGGGCTTTGGATCAGGACCTTAAGTTCTTCTCTGCCTTCCTTCTACATTCCCAGCTTCTTTCCACAGGGTGAATTATAAGTGAAAGTCAGGGTAAGTCTGAATGAAAAGGGGCAAGGAGAAGTATTACTCTACACATTTTTAGGTGGTTTCCACTTGTACCAAACAAAGCACTAAATAAATGAACTAACCTGCTGCAGCTAACGCTGCACAGCACATCACAGAATAAATCATGGCATAGAAAGAAGAATGTTGGATGACTGCAGATTCTGGCTACACACAAGACACTTCTTACCCAGGAACGGGGCATTGCGCAACCTGAAAATATACCCTGGGAGGTAGGTAATCTTCAACCACCTTTACCTTATTTGCTAACAAACATGTGAAGAGAGAGCAGAGCTGATCAAGTTGTACCTTGCTCTTGCTTAGGAAACCGCTTCCTTTAAAAGTTATATGACCAAGATAGTCAAATTGGTTTAAATTTTACCTCTCTGAGACAGGTAAGACCATCGGGCGAAGTCTAGGAAAAAGTAAGAAAAAATTTAACAAAAATAAAATTAAAACCATATACACTATTGTCTTGTTTTTGTTTTTTTTAAAGTGAAGCTGGATGGGCTCTTAAACAGATCCGGGATCTTCTGGTTCTTATTTGGATGTGCCGTATCTCACTCCATTGCTTCTCTTCTTATGCAGAAAGGCAGTTAAGGAAGTCAGGGCTCCCTCTCCCCTGTATGACAATGAAACACACGACACTGCATGAAGGAAGATGTGCAATGGTCATGCAACCATGCGATCAGTGGCAGAGATCAATGAGGTGGGGATGCAACACGACACTGAAGGAGCAATACGCTCTGATGTTGAGCGCCTCTGAGAGCAAATCCTCTCCTTCATGCAATCTTAAAAGTTTGGACAGAAGGGCTCCCTTTTTCCAATAGTTGGAGCCTGGCATCTTCTTCCTCATCCTGGTCAGAATACTTCTTTGACTGTAGAAATGAAAATCAGTTAATGGAGGAATAACAACGTCCGGAGGCTGGTGGACTGTTCAGAATCACCACACTTGCAGCACAGCAATTTGATGCAATTCTCATGCACCTTGGGAGGAAGTGTTATTAGTAAATTAGGTTTTTTTAAAAAAAGACGTAGGTTGGCTTTTTTTGTTTTAGAACTGTATTTAGTTCTACTTTGTCTCAGTCTCTCTGTACCTTAGGCTATGCTCTGAGATTTGGCCTGCAGCCATTCATGAAGAGTCACATGGCTCTTTAGAGCATTTCTCAGTACACAAGTTTCCTGGCCTTCATTCCATGCTATGAAGCTCCTACCTCTGGGTCAGGTCAGTTTTCTTACCTTCTATTTAGTTAGTGCCACACAAAAATACCTAAATTGAATGCAGTGCTTTTCTATGTTCCCCTTCATCACATTCTCCAGTTCCGAACACCTGATCTCTTCCTGGCCAATCACTGTGCACCACCAGAAGGATCTCCTGTGGACTAACGGAACACACGAAAGAGCACAACTTGCTCAGCTGCTGCTGATACGTGACTGTGTCACCATCTGTGTTATATCTGAATTAGGTAGGAATTTCCTTGCCAGTTTGAGGCTAAAGATCAAATGGGCCATGGACACCAAACCACACACGCTCGTGCCTATGGGAGCAGTCCTGCAGGTCAGCTGTATGGGCAAGGAAGTGTGTGTGAAGGAAGCCAATGCTGCTATGGCAGATCTGTGCCTGCCCTTACTGTTCTCAGAGCTCCATTGATTAACTTACACGAGCTGAAGATCTGTCCCCTAAAATCCTTAGGCCAGGCTGAATTTCACGGAGTAACATTGAATTCTTGTAAAAAAACCACAAGAATACATCCCCTCCCTTCCAAAAGGACAAATGGAATTATAAGGACCCAGGATGGGGTAAAGCGGAGTTTACATTTTTATTCATATTGCCCAAATATATTATTTAATTGTGGAACAGTTACAGGAAAGTGGCTGGGAGCTAGGCAATCATCACAAGCTTCCCTATTTCACTCTCCCCTGAGCCAAGCTTGATGGATGGGGTTTCAGCTAGTTCTAGACTGGGGTGCAGAGAACATGATTAGATGACAAAGCCTTTAGAATTATAATTGTGATTGCATATTTAATTCTTGCAGCAATGGAAATAATTTAATATCTGGCCCTGGACCTAACTGATTCATTTAAACACAAATTATTATTTTGAATACTTTTACATCTTTTTCTGCAATTGTATCATAGTTTTCTCTTCAGACAAAACTGCCAAAGTTCAGTTCATTCTCAATTATTCTCTGTCCTATACCCCTCAAGAAATAAAGTGAGGGCTACTGAACAAACCAATCACACACCAAGATGAAAAATGAATCTGATGCTAGTTGAGTCTGTAATGTCACACGCTTCCCCCATGCCCCCAATATATATTTCAGCTTGTAGCATATATAGGCACTGGGAATAGATGTAAAAACACAGTTTTGCAACGGACCCTCAGAGAAACAGCAGAGGTGCAGACAATGTCCATAAAAGTTTTCATAAGAACATGAAAAGAAAGCAGTGGTGTAAAGTAACAACCCTAAAACCCAGAGACAAAGACAATATGTCACCCAAGAAGGAGAAGGTTCCTCAGAAGCCCAAATACAAATAGCTGAATGTGAAATATCAGAATCCATTTCTTATCCCTTGGGACACACCCAACTGAGTTACATGAATACTTCTCCCGGCCACACATGAACCTACAATAGAGAGGCTCCAGCCAATTCCCTCAACTCCTCTGTCTTGCACGCTGGAACTGCACTGTCTTGCACTGGTCAGAAGCCTGGCCAGTGTTAGTTCATTACCTAGTTCACCACTTCTTCATAGGAAAGTAGACATGCAAAAGCCTTTGTAACCTGAACTGAGATTTGTTAAGCACTTTAGACAAACTCACTGGTAAAGATAAAACATTAAAATAAGTTTATTAACTACAGAAAGATCGATTTTAAGTGATTATAAGTGGTAGGCATAAAGGCCAGAATAGTTACCTTAAGAAAATAAAAAGTAAACATTAATTCTAAATCCTAAACTTTTAGTCTAAGCAAAAGTTGAATCAAACAGCTTTTCTCACCCTGACAGATGATACAAGCAGGTAGGTTACAGTTCCTCAATACACAGACTGGGACCACCTTTCAGCCTGGGATCAAACTTCCCCAGTTCAAAGTCTCTGTCCTCCAGATGTTCTTCTCAGTATTGAGTTGGAGGAGAGGCCAAGTTATGATGTCATTATCTCTCTTTTTATGCCGTCTTCCAGCTTACTAGAAAGATCCTTGCTGTGACATGTGTTAAGTCCACCCCTATGGCGTACATGACTTCTCTGGGAAGTCTCTGGGATAGTGGATTGGGGGTTAAGTCATTAATCACCCATCTGGCTATTGATGGCTACTCCTTTGTTGTAACTGAAAGGTTGGTTGTGGGTTTTCCCAACGTCAAAACATATTTCAGTAACGCATATAGCAATACTTCATAACTTGACATATAATGATAGCACATAAAATCTAACAGGATATTAATGTTCAGCAGACTAAGACTTTTAAAATGATACCTCACAAGACACACTGTATACAAAGCATATAAATTATATGGGATTGCAGGGTGCTACTTTGAGATACAAAGTGTCACAGTGGTATTGGGGTCTAATGTTGTCAAATATTACTCAGGTAAGTTGACCTCCCAAGAATCGCCCCATTCTCTTCAATAAGAAGACATGCATGAATAAGGACTACTCAGCTGACAGAAGTCATGCCATTGGCATCAGCCCATTAGGGCTGCTCTAGGCATGAGCAAACCAAGCATGTGCTTGGGGCGACACAACTCTAGAGGCGGCATGGCGACATACTAGGGGCAGCACTTTGCTCTCGGAGATTTTTGGGTTTTTTTTGCTTGGGGTGGCAAAAAAAACTAGAGCCGGCCCTGCAGCCCATGGTAAATATACAATCAGCGAAGAGGAACAAAACAATTTATTAAAAAATACACTAATAGTTTGATTATTTATATAAAAAAATCACCACCATTTTAGCGATAATCTTTTTCTTTCACAAATTCCAACCATCCTATCCATGCACATTAAATTTGACTCTCCTCTTATAAATGACCGGGCTATTAAGGACAACAAGTAATAGCTAAGCCAGCAAAAGAGTATGTCCCAAAACTTTAAAAATCCAATACATCTTTCATTGTAGTTTGATTATAAAATAGTTTTGGAGGCCTTTACAGCCTACTGGGAGCTAGCAGAAGAAAAGCTGCCAGGTATAGAAATGAGCTGATATATTTTTTTAAAGTGTTTACTGCCACAAACCTATTTCTGCAGACCTGGTAATAAGATTGCTACATTTTCCCCTTGAAATCCACATTTACTGCATTTTTATTCAATCTCACATCTATTCCTCTTAAAGGCACAAACACTGTGTGAGTGACAACACTGGAACTCCATATCCTGCTGCATATGCCACTCCTCAGGGCCTTCGGGGTGTTGTGCACTGAAAAATGCTGAAGTGGTGAGCAGCTGTTCCCATGTTCCTATTGTCCAAGAGAACAAACTATCCTACTTAGTTCATATGATTCACATGGGGGTACTACAGAGCTAGAATACAAGGGAACAACATAATTTGACTGGCTTGTAAGAAGTAAGCCACAATATTAGTGTGGTTATAGCCCTAAGCTAAGCAAATATGTTCCTCTGACTATGCTTTATCTCCCTCTGCCATACTCTAGAACGTAGACCCCTAAACTTTTATTTCTGTCATTGGTGTTGCAGACTGGCCCTGCTTGTTTGAGCATATGACCTTGGAAAAGAAAATGTGTACAGAAATTTCTTTAGTAGGACTCTCTAGCAAGTTAAAGTAGCTATGAGAAGAGACAACCTTGTCTTTGTCAGAGAAAATGCAGCGTGGTTGATGTTCCATGCCAGATCTCCACATGGTAGCCATAGGCCATTGGTCAATGGAACAGCTTGCAATCAATGCAAACTCAAGTGACAGCTGAGAATGACAAACAGCTTTTTTCCTGTGATGTGTTCTCTCATTCTAGAAGAGAACAACTGCTGTTACAGTATGTGCACTACAATCATGCACAACCTTCAAATGACAACTACCAGGATCACACAGTGCTACTATCAACCTATATAGTCAATGGCATCACATGGAAACATGTGACATTCAGTGGGGAGATTTTTCAAAACTGCCTTGGAGATCTGGTTGCCCAATTCCCATCATATTTCATAGAACTGGGCATCCAAATCTCTTTGACTGATTTCAAAGTCTCTGCCTACAAGTATCCCCTACAACATAACATAAGAACATAAGGTGAGACTGCTCTAATCATAAAGGTGAGATTGAGCTGGGAGAAATTTCTCATCTGAAAGCTTTTTTGGTGAAAAACACATATTCAGCCACACAAACATTTTGCAGATTCGTGCTAATTTCACTGAATTGTTCATGTTGGACATTTTTTTTGAAAGTGTCAAAACATTTAGTTTTGACACTTTCA